TGTGTCCTTCAATGCAGCACTAGAAGAAATAATTCCTATTCTGTAAAGTTGCCCTTAAAAGTTATCGATGGATATTCAGAAATTTCCACGCAGCAGAGTGGTTAAAGAAAGCAAAATCTGAGTTCGCCAACTTCATGTGTCTTCATGTACAGTGCGTTTGCACCACCTTACACATACTGTTATGAGTAGACAACTTTTTCTGGATATAGTGGTGAAAATGGAAGAGATTACACTCAAAGCCCCTCCTCACTTGCCTGCCAGTACAAGACTACAATCACACTTCTTGGTGAGGTCAGTAACCTCCCAGATCTGACAGGGCACCTTCTTATGTGGCCTCTCTCTGGCTCACTCATGTCAAAATCAACCAGTCACCTCTAGTAGAGGGGCTGTGATGGGCATTTATGTCCAAGCCATAAATAGGCAATACACCTTTCTCAGGCATAACTGTTCACAAAATCTACATCTGTTTATGTTCCTAAGCAATTTAAAAGCTGGTTAAGTTTCCAGCTAGGTATTTCACAATATAGAGTAATGAAGCAGAACTGGATGTTCAGCCACAAGAAAGGCAGGACCTCTGTGAGAACACCTTCCAGGCAGTAAAAATTGAAAGGTATTTCTGGTTTGATAAAAGCCTTTCCAGTTCACAGATGCCTGTTTCCTACCCAAGGTTAATAATTTGTTGTTGTTGTGTCTATACATAAACTTATTGCCAAAGCTCACATTTCCAGTTGTTCTTCAGGATGCCCAAATGGAATAAATCTGTTCTTGCTTCACACCTTTAAATGTACACGAGAAACAAATGTCTCCGTATTTTCTAAACCTAAACCTGATTTTTCCTTCCTCACCATCTTATTAACTTCTGTGTCCTATGATCTCCCTTTTTTATCTGTTTTTTTCACCATCATCCAGATAATGGATGAAAACTTTCATGCTATAGAAACTGGTTCTACAGATAAACCAGCTCCCCAGTAAACTTCCTCTGACAGGCTTGCATGAAAAGGGCTGCCATATAGTTAGAAATCCGGATGCCCAGTTCCCCTTGAGGATGTTTATTTCACATGACTATGCTTGACAAGAGAAAGTCAGTTTC